CATGTGAAGAATATGCTTTTGGTTTTCTAACTCCAGGTCTTTGCAGATTTCATTACAGTAATTGGCTTTATCTTCTCAAGCTGCTCTTTGAAATCTTCTGTTCAGCTCTTTTATCTTATCATCTCTTCCATTTGCTTCAGCTACTCTCTGCTCAAGGGCAAGTTTCAGAGTCTTTTCTGACATCCATTTTGGTCTTTTCTTCCTTTCTTGTCTTTTTAATGACCTCTTGCTTTCTTCATGTATGATGCTCTTCATATCAACCCATAATTCTTCTGGTTTTTGGTCACTGGTGTTCAATCCATCAAATCTATTCTTTAAATGGTCTCTAAATTCAGGAGGGATATTATCAAGGTCATATTTTGGCTCTCGTGGACTTCTTTTAATTGTCTTCAACTTCAACTTGAACGTGCATACAAGGAGTTGATGGTCTGTTCCACAATCGGCTCCTGGCCTTGTTTTGGCCAAAGGTATTGAACTTCTCCATTGCTGTTTGCCACAAATGTAGTTAATCCAATTCCTATGTATTCCATCTGGTGAAGTCCACGTGTACAGCCATTGCTTATGTTGTTGAAAAAAGGTATTTGCAATGAGTAAGTCATTGGTCTTGCAAAATTCTATCATGCGATCTCCAGCATTATTTCTATCAGCATGGCCACGTTTTCCAACTACCCATGACTCTTCTGTGTTTCCAACTTTTGCATTCCAGTCACCAGTGATAATGAACACATCTTGACTGCATGTTTGGTCAGTTTCAGACTGCAGAAGTTAGCAGAAATCTTCAATTTCTTCATCTTTGGCTTTGGTGATTGGTGCACAGATTTGAGTAACAGTAGTATTAACTGGTGGTCTTCCTTGTAGGCATATGGATACTATCCTATCACTGACAGTGTTGTACTTCAGGACAAATATTGAAAAAGCCTTTGTGACGATGAAGGTCATGCCATTCCTCTTCAATTTGTCATTCCTGGCATAGTAGATCATATGGTTGTCTGATTCAAAATGGCCAAAACCAGTCCATTTCAGCTCACTAATGCCTAGGATATCAATCTTTATGCATTCCATTTCATTTTTTGACAATTTCCAATTTTCCTAGATTCATACTTCATACATTCCATGTTCCAATTTTTAATAGATGTTTGCATCTGTTTCTACTCATTCTGAATCATGCCACATCAGCCAATGGAAGTCCTGAAAGCTTTACTGTATCCATATCATTAAGGTTACCTCTACTCTGAGAAGTCAGCTCTTCCCCAAATTTTGAGTGCCCTCCAACCCGATGGGCTCATCTTCTGGCACTATATCAGACAATGTTTTAGGGGTATTCATAAAGTTTTCCAGCAATATATCAGACAATGTTTCACTACTATTAATAAGGTTTTCACTGGCCAATTCTTTGAGAAGTGCATGGCCTCTTCCTTCTTCTAAGTCTGTCTTATCCTGGAAGCTCTGCTGAAACCTGTCTATACAGGTAACCCTGCTCGCATTTTGCAACACTGGTGGCATATCCTCTAGCCTCACAGCAACACGTAAGCCACGACAGGACGACAAACTGACAGACACCACCAAAGAAAGTGAGACGCAATCCAGCCATTCCCACTTCCAAGAAGCATACTGGCTGCACTTCCTCCAGTATAGATTTGTTTGTTCTTCAGGCAGCCCACAGTATTTTCAATATTTCTGTATTCTTCACTAACACAATTCAAAAACATCAACTCTTTTTCAGCCTTACTTATTCACTGTCCAGCTTTCATAGGCATATGAGGTGACTGAAAATACCAGGGCTGGGTTGGAGCACCTTAGTCTTCAAAGTGACATCTTCGTTCTTCAACAATTTAAATAGGTGTTTTGTGGCAGGTATGTCCTGTGTAATCGGACATCTGATTTCCTGACTGCTGCTTCCATGGGTGTTGATTGTGGATCCTCCTAAAATGAAATCTTTGATAACTTCAATCTTTTCTCCATTTATCATGATGTTGCTTATTGGTCCAGTTGAGAGGATTTTTGTTTTATGTTGAAGTGTACATAAAATATTTTTCTTTTTTTTTACTGTCATAACTATTTCAATGCCGTCTTTTAAATTAAGACCCTACAGAAAAGAAAAATCTTGACAAAAGCAAACTTTAGGGCACTCCTGCTCCCCATATCCCCCTCAAAAAGTCATTTAGAACATGAAAGAAAGAGCAGCTAAGGACAGAATAATAAACTATGGAGAGCATACTTGTGTGTGTATGTGAAAGTGTAGGTGTGTATATTCCCAAATAAGTTTAACTCTGTAAGTTAAGTATCTTGATTATGAAACAAAAATATTTTACTGTCTTCAAAAAAAGTCCATATAAAGAATCAAGAATACAATTAAAGAAGGCAGAACTAACTATTCCCCTTCTACTTGAGAGGGTAAAAAAAAAAAACAGCAAAAGTCAGTCTCTCTTCAGAAGAAATTTTCTTCAGTAAAGAATCCAAAGTGACTGATTTGCCCTGTTCCTCCCAACTCTGTATATTCTTTTTAAATGTATTCTCTGTAAGAGAACACCTGCTTTTGCTTCCACCCCTTTTAGATGTTACTAAACCTATAGGAAGTCTAGGTCATAACTCAGTAAACCCATTTTTTGTGGCTCTAGAGGCAGAGCAAGAAAAACTCGAAAGGGCCAAAAGATATTCTTCTGTTTCCAGTCTCATGCTGATTTCACATGTGTACCCTGGAGTCAGGGAGACTAGCTAGAATTTTGACTCTGTCATCTACTGAAACCAGTTGCTGTCGAGTTGATTCTAACTCATGGCAATCCCATGTATTTCAGAGTAGAACTTCTCTCCGTAGGGATGTCAATGGCTGATTTTTCAGGATTAGATCATCTGGCCTTTCTTCTGGGTGGACTTGGACCTCTAAGCTTTCAGTGAGCAGCTGGGTGTGTGAACTGTTTCTACCACTCAAATTATATAAATTTAGGAAACTTTCTTAACTTCTATGTGTATCCTACTTCCTCATCTATAAGACTGGGATAGTAATAGCTACACCCTTTTAGGATTATTGTGGGAATTAAGTGATACATTTAACAAATATAATAGCTGGCATTTAGTAAATGCTCAATAAATGTTAACTACCTATAACATCCTGCTTAAATCCAAGATATCCCAAGGGCTACAGCTGTTGTTTTTCCAAACAGTTGGATTACGGAATTGTGATCAGCACTTTAAAAAATAACTCACTGGAGGACATCATGCTGAGTGAAATAAGTCAATTGCAGAGGAACAAACATTGCATTAGTCTACTATTGTAAAAAGCCAGGAAAGGTTTACAAACAGAAGGAACTTTCTTTGCTGGTTACCAGGGATGCGACGGGAGTGGAGGGAAACTGAAAAAACTCACTAGAAGAAAACAAAATATCAGACTGCAATACAAGTATTGTTTCAAAAATCTGTTCCAGATATACCTATGTATATATATGTAGATACCTATAGATTCTTAACTTAGCCTCATGCAGATTTTCTGTGATGCATTCCCTAAGTCACCTTCAACAGACAGCACATCTGTCTCTTTCTCAAGTGCACCACAGCATTGTGTATGAAACTCTGCAACATTTATTACACTGCATTTGTTATGTCTGTCTCCCCCATAAGAACGTAAACTCCAAGGAAAATGCCTCCTATATCTGTCTGGTGCCTAAAAAAATACCGGGGGTGAGGTGTGGGGCATGTCTTGGTATATTTCTACTGAATGAATGAATAATCATCAGAATCCAGTAGGTATTAAAAATATGCAAAAACATATTTAATCACTTTAATTTTTATCTGATTTTTATTACTGTATAGAAAATTTAGCTATAAGTCACATAAAATCCATAAAGTTGTTCATTTTCCCACAATGCCTATCACACTCCCTTTATATGAAAGTGATAGATGTCTAAAGAAACTGAAATGAATGATGTGCAAAAGGATGAAAGAAGAAATAAGGTAGAACATCAAAATATATGGGTGTGATGCACCATTTAAGTTTTATTTAAGTACACAAGCTACCTTCATGCTTTTTTGTCAGGGCCAAAGAAAGTTGAAGGGAAGTTACTAGGCAGAAAAAGTTGTTTCTCTATGACAAACTATCCAAGGATCTCTCTCTCCCAGGTACTGCAGGTACCATGAGAACACATCTAACAACACTGGGCAGGTACTTGCTTAAGTAATGTGTACAGAGAAATAAGGAAAACTTCAATATTTTTAACATTCATGTATTATCACCATCATTCTCAACTGCATTTAAATACAAGAATCAAAGTTGTACAAATTCACTAACTCTGCTTTTATTACATCACAAAAAGTCAAAACACTAGAAATCAATACTAAATAAACATTTTTCACCACACTTAAAGGTATCAAAAGTCAAAAGTTAACAGTCTACTAAAGCAAGGTCACTTATAAAACTTGGTTTTACATTTATCATTTCTTAATAAACGCAAAAAATGTTTACTCTAAAATGAGACTTAACTTTTTAAGTTCCTTTATAATAATCTTCCAAAATATTTTTTTCTGCATCACCAACAAACTGACAGAAAAACTGAAGTTCCCAATTTTTTAAGATTCTCTCTCTCATAATACAGTAAAATATGTATATGATATGGGGGGCATAACAAAAAGAATGGCATCACTATCTTAGGTCTTAGGCTTAGGCATTTTGACTTCTTCCCCCAGATAAATTAATGTGAATGACAATTTAACCTACTTTAAACTTTTCAAACATCTAAGGAAACAACTTTCATACAAGCTTCCTTCTTTAGTCATTTCAAGTATATATTTTAAATTACTAGGAAACTACTTCAAAATAATTTACTGAGCTTGGGCATTAAAGCTAAGTCTTAGCAGTTAACATTGATTTATTGAAGGAAGAAGAAAGATGAGATGTGATATATGGTAAAAACAATGAAAGTGGCAACAGACTGTTGCTACTTATTAAAAAGTTTTCCCTACATTTGAATAGTAATTTTAAAGACCCTAGTAAGGGTGTCAACACTCACCAGTATGAATCTTCTCATGTCTCTGTAGCAGGTACTTCTGTATGAAACGCATGTCACATTGACTACATTGAAATGGTTTTTCGCCTTAAAATAATTTCACATCCATAAATTAGTTACCGGATAAAACAACAGTTTATAGTTACTATTTCTGAGGAAAGTAAATCTTACAAACCCAGATTGTGGGAAATTCCCAACTATCCAAACAAATTTTTTATATTATTCATTAACAGAATTTAATTTCCTCTCAAAATTTCCCCAAATATTTAAAAATACACATTCTCAAAATCACACAAAAATGAGATTAAATTGGATCTATATCCTTTAAGGAAACAAACAAACAATTTAAAACAGAATTTTAAGAAATCACAGGGCTGGAAAGGATTCTAGTATATCTTTAAAATCTCTTTTTCCTTTTTATCTGGAGGAAGATGCACCCACCCAGCTATCTACAGTGACCATTCCTTTATTCTTTTTCATTTCTATCTTCTTCAGAACCTTCACAACTTTCTGAGCATCTTTTTTTTTTTTTTAGATCCCATCTCATTAAACTTTCTCTCTGGTACAGCCTTGCCTTTTAAGTATGCTTAAGGTCTGCTCTAGGCTGAGAAACTTCCCTACAATCCTGAATCTCTCCTATTTTAGTCATTTCTCTCCTTCCCTTTTACCACAGAACCTTCTTAAAAGAGTAGTCTACCTGAAGTCTCAAATTCTTCACCATCCACTTGTGCTTTAACTCTGTTACCCATGATCTCTTTGCTGTTTACTTCACTGATCTTTGCTCAGTTATCTATCCATCTCCATCCTCCTGCAGCTTTTGATGTTGATCGTGTCCTCCTTGAAATTCTCTCTTTTGGCTTCTGGGACACTACATTTTCCTAATTCATCAATTCTCCCTCCCTCATTACTTTTTCTTTCCTTCTTTTTTTAAAAAGTCCTAATTCACCCTACATGTCTAGTCTGTTTCTCCAAAGGTCTGTGATCAGTCTTTAGTCCTGCTGTCTACAACTTCATGGTCTTAGCCATCATTTGCAAAATTCTACCTGGCTGTCTTGTATAGAAAAATGTTAACAAGCTTTTAATAGTACACTCTTTCATCATTTCTCTAACTAAAAGGAACACATTAACAAATAAGTGTCCTGCTCAAGACTATGCAATTAATTTTGCATATCCAAGCTCACTGTTTTCAAATTTAAATGTTTTTCTGTTTTCTTCTGACACTCTGGGTCTATGAAATTTCTGATTTGGAATCTCAGGTTAGCTAAGGTCTTAGAAATGAATGACATTTATGGGAGATGAAAATAGCAAAGATAATAATTTTAATGGCAATAAGCCCATTTTAATTCAAGAAATACCTGTATGAATGAAGACATGTCTCTGTAAGTGATAGTTCGTTCTAAAGGCAGCATTGCAGTGCTCACAAACATGAGATTTAGGGGTTTTCAAACCAAGTGATCCATCCTCATTTATTGTAAGGATCTAGTTTAAAAAAAAAAAGGCAAAAACAAAAGTAGTTTTTAAAACGTAATTAAATGCTAATTTATAAAAAAAAGATGCCTTTTAATGCAAACAATGGTCATCAGATTATGATATAGTTTTTTTACTACATAATCTTTAAAAAAAAAACTATAATGTTATCATTAACTGTAAGAAAGTACAATGTGGCTCAGGATGGGTAAAAATTACTAGTAAGACCTCAGAAGCTAGTTAAATAAAATTTAGTACTCTGCCCCCCTCCCTTCAAGGTTGATGCTCAAGTGTTCTTGTTCTCTCCTAGGGTGACTTCAGCTATCTTTTAGATTTCAAATTCTCAAAAAGCACGACAAAAGTCTACATTTTCACCTAAATATAATCACAAGGGAGTAGTTAAATAAATCATGAAAATAAATACAATTTAATATTTTATGTAGTCATAAAATGAGAAAGCTCTCTATATACTATTATGGAAAGAGCTCCAGGATTTATTATTAAGTGAAAAAAGCAAGGTTTAGAACTCAGTGTACATTTCTGCTAATTTTTATATACAAGGGAGTACATATAGGAATATATATTTATGTTTGCTCTTATATACATAAAAAATATTTGAGTAAGATATACATTAAAATGTATACAACTCTGGTTACAGGGCTGGAAAAATGAGCAGTTGGGAGATAAGAATGAGAGGGAGACTTTATACTGTACACGTTTAAAACAACTTTTTGAATCATATAAATGCTTACCTATTAAACTTTTTTTTTTTAATTTTCAATGGAGAAAAAACTACATCCTGTAATCATACTAGAGTCCAGGATCTCTAAGATTATTGTAAGACTAATAAACTACTGTAAAACATATTCCTAAAAATATCTGCTAGGTAAACAAATTAGAAATCGGTATGGAGAAGGAAGATAAAAGGCAAAGAAATGAATCATATTTTCCCATGCTTCTTGAAGCTAAGAACATTGTGGGCCTAATCTGGATATGGCAAAGAGAAAAATTTATGGCTCGCTGGGCCTCACGTATTTCAACTTATCAACTACTTGTTCAATAGATAACATTAACCTGCCTCTCTAATCAGACTTGTGGCTGAGAAACAATGACAAATGTCCCCTTTTTTTTATTGAGATGAGAAAAAAGATGGAAAACTATGATGGGAAGATAAGAATCAGAGAAAACTAGGAGGTAAGATCAGGAGGAAGATAGAAAGTCAGGGGAAAATGTGTTGGAGGCATACACAGTTAGAGCTAAGAAACTGTGTCCAACAAAGAGTAGAGAAAATCTGGGAAAAATCTTAAGAAATATAAATATCTGTGGAAACTAAAAATTAATGTCTGCAAGTATACAGCTACGATCCCTTCTCAAACCTAGGTGAAACGGGAAGTAGAAAAGGGAAAAAAAAGGTTTTAATGTTTCTTTTCTTACTTTAAATTCAGGATAAGAGTTGAGCCTATACTCTATGTAAATTAATGGTAATTATTATGCAAATTACACAGGGCATTTGGGTTCTGGGCCAACTGCCAATGTGGTCAACAATGCTTCAAAGACTATGCACTAAAGTCATAGAGGGAAACATTTGGCAGGAGAATGGAAGTGGGTGTCACTGCTTCCTGAAGAGAGTCAGTGAGGATGGAAAGTTTCATCTCTGGCCATTCAGTTAAAAATTTTTTCAACCCCTCCAAGCCACATAATAATATGCAAGTTAACACTGCAAAAAGAGAAACATAAAATGTTTTAAACTATCATTCAAAATATTCCTAGTATCAAACAACATAAAAATGTGAAATAAAAGAACTAAAAATATGATAGCACCAGGTATTTTTTCATGTGTCAATAATAAATGACAAGATCCAAGTGCCAAAAAACAGGGCAGCTCAATAGCTTTCTGTGGTATAGCAACTGCAAGGAAGGCTTTGTGGCCAATAAATCTGGCCCAAGTTACTTAATGGGAAACGGATGCCATCCTTGACTGTACAAAGCCCCATTTTGAAGAGAGTTAAGGAGTTTTAGGTCATTGTTTTCTGGCACTAGAGGTAATGCTGCCTTTCACTGTGGATTCCAGCCTTACTGCAAGGTAGATTTTATGAATGAAACAACCACCACTGCCTCATCAATAAAATGACTGAAAAATCCAGCATTTTGATAAATCCAAAGACAGAAAGACCAAACTCTTGGGCATCTTATATATAATTCTTTTAAATAAATAAATAAATAAACAAAAAGGACACAGTAAAATGAAACAGAAAGCATCAGTGGTTTTTCCAATATGTAACCCACTCTAAATCTATCTACCCAATTCTGTCTGCTTTATTTACCATTATGACTCCAAGTGTACAAAAAGTGTCTGGCACATCAAACTAAACCAAACCAAACTCACTGCCGTTGAGTCGGATCCGACTGATAGCGACCCCTCCCCTTGGGTTTCTGACGCGGTATCACTACGGAAGTAGATTGCCCAATCTTCCTTCCGAGGAGTGGCTGGTGGGTTTGAACCAGCAGCCTTCTAGTTAGCAGTCAAATGCCTTAGGCACTACACTACAAAAGCTCCTGTCTGGCACACAGTCCCCAAAAAAAAACCAAACTCACTGTCGTGGAGCCAGATCTGACTCATTGCGATCCCTCCCTTGGGTTTCCGAGGCAGTATCCCTACAGAAGTATATTGTCCAACCTTCCTTTCGAGGAGCACATAGCTGAAATTCTATAAATGTCTACTGATATAGCTGCCTGCCATCTATATCAGACATTCTTCACAGCTTACCACTTTACTCTTTCAAAATAATTTTGTTAAAATGACACTTTTCCATTTTTCAAAGTCTTCAGATTACTGAGTAATGTCATAGAGACATGGGTACACAAAGAACAAAGTCCTTTAGTGGTCAAGAAATGGCACACTAATGAACCCAAATGTTCTTGGTATAGACTTGTCTTCTTTTCTTGCTCACACCCTTTGAAGATTTTTTTAGTAGAATGTTAAGTATCAGTTAAGTGTGTTTGTCTTAGAGATTTAGCAGAGTCTTATTTGCTAAAGATGTTTGTCCCCCCCTCCAACATTAAGAATACTTCATTATTATGCAAGTACATATTATGATCTCCATTACAACTGAAGAACTTAAATCCTATGATGCCTACTATATACAGCATTTCCAGATGCTTTATCATGTCTCCTGTCATTGCTACTACAGGAGAAAAACAGTATATTATAAAGACCAAGAAGTCAGGCTTTATCAACAGTAGTTAGCAATAGTCTAAACAATATTCAACATACTTTATTTTTGTCTTAACTGTTAAATGAATTCGAAACAGAATTTTACAGAGAAAAATCTTCAATACCAAAATGGCTTGCAGTCAATCTGCTTTCTTGATTTATAGTCCACTACAAATACATTTTCTGTTCTGACACAATCTGTTCTCAGCTAGCTACATACATATATGGTGAAGACTATCTTAATTTATCTACCAGTTTTCATCAGGCAAAGCCCTAAATTCCTGAATCAATTCAGAGATTTTTCACCCCTCAAGGGTGACTGCCACTGAATGACTGAAACGTGACATTTGTCTCAAAAATTTCTGCTCTCTTGAAAAGCAGCCATGACTTCCCCATTCTATATATGAATTACTAAAATTATGAAACATTTTAAACTCACTATTATGATTATATGTTTTAAACTAGGTATGTTTTACCAAAACAAACAAAACCCACCGCCATCGAGTCAATGCTAACTCACAGCAACCCTATAGGTCAGGGTAAAACCAAAAAAACTACTCATTGCCCTCAAGTTGTATCCAACTTATAGTGACCCCTCCTTGGGTTTCTGAGGTGGTATCGCTATGGAAGTAGATTGCCCAATCTTCCTTCCAAGGAGTGGCTGGTGGATTTGAACCACCAGCCTTCTGGTTAGTAGTCAAATGCCGTAGGCACTATGTCACCAGAGCTCCTCAGAACAGGACAGAACAGCCCTACAGGATTTCCAAGGCTGTAAATCTTTATGGAAGCAGACCGCCTCATCTTTCTCTGATGGAGCATCTGGTGGGTTCAAACCAATGACCTTTTGGTTAGCATCTGAATGCCTTAAATCTGTGCCACCAAAGCTTCCTACGTTTTGCCATACATTCTTCAATCAATCTAAATCTACCTCAGTTTCTACTGTTAGGTGTCACTGAGTTGGTTCTGACTCATCAATCCTCTGTATAACAGACTGGAACAATGCCCACCCCTGCACCATCCTCACAATCCCCGCTGTGCTTGAGCTCATTGTTGCAGCCACTGTGTCAATCCACCTTGCTGAGGGTCTTCCACTTTTTCACTGACCTTCTCCTTTAACCAGAACGATACCCTTCTCCAGGAACTGGTCCCTTCAGACAACATGACCAAAGTAGGTGAGACGAAGTCTGGCCATTTTTGCTTCTAAGGAGCATTCTGGCTGCACTTCTTGCAAGACAGGTTTGTTCGCTCTTCTGGCAGTCCGTGGTATTTTCAGTATTCTTCACCAACACCACAATTCAAAGGCATCAATTCTACTTTAGTTTTACTTATTCACTGTTCAACTTTCACATGCATATGAGGAAACGAAAATACCATGTCTTAAGTAAGGCACATCTTAGTCTTCAAAGTCCTATCTTTGCTCCTTAACACTTCAAAGAGGTCTTCTGTAGATTTGCCAAGTGCAATATGACATCTGATTTTTGACTGCTGCTTCCATAGGTATTGATTGTGGATCCAAGTAAAATGAAATCCCTGATAACTTCAATCTTTCCTCCATTTATTATGATGTTGCCTCCTGGTCCACTTGTGAGGATTTTTCTTTTCTTTTTGTTGAGGTGTAATCCATATTGATGGCTGTAGTCTATGATCTTTATCAGAAAGTGCTTCAAGTCCTCTTCACTTTCAGCAAGCAAGACTGTGTCACCTGCACATTGCAGGGTTATTAATAAGTCTTCCTTCAATCCTGATGCCATACTCTTCTTCCCATAGTTCAGTTTCTTGGATTATTTGCTTAGCATAC